CTATCTAAGGAAACATTTAAAATAAGAAGAAGAATAAAAGTCATATTTCAGATTTTAGGAAAGACTTTTAAAATAGGAAAGGAGATTAAAAATCAAATTTTATATTTTATGAAAAGATTTAAATTAAGGAAAGAGAATAAAATTAGGAATTAATCTGTTAGAAAATGATTTAAATTAGGAAAAGGCATAAGAAGGAATAAAGGATGAGGAAGGAAGGAAAGAAAGGGAAGGGAGAAGAAAGGAAAGAGGAGAAAGAAGGGGGTTGTGGGGCCCCCCTCCAAGAGGACCAGTGGCGAGCTTGGCTAGGCCTGCGCCCAATTGGTTACCCATGAGCCCCGCGTCAGTCTCCCGAGGTTGGGGGAGCCTCGATCTCACATGTCGAAGCTTCTGGTTCTCATGGTACCGTGGTAAGTCCTCTGGTAGGTCGATCATATTAGTGTTGTTATTCCACAACACATTTTAGTATAATAGGTAGTCATCCTCTTTTGGCACATCTTGAGTAAAAGTTGCATATAGAGGTGGTTCCCCGCAATGTAACACTCGAGTCCTTCCATTTGAAATCTTCTCATTCCAATTCTCGTGCCTAGCATGCGGTGGTTGAGCAATAAGTATGTGAGGAGAACTCAATTCAGGAATGAAATCTATGGCAAGTTGCACCACTTTCACTGACACCTCTTCAGAAGAGACCCCCTCCCCACAGATAAGACCTGGATTCCATTGTAGAATTTTTATCTATATCAAGCTCCTTGGGCCCACTATAAAGTTGGGGTTCATCTCTCCCTTTTGAACATCTGAAGAGGTGTCTCCTGCAGACCTGAAAGTAGCCTCCAAATTTCTCCATGTAATGTTCTAGATATGGCACATAATGAGCTCATTTCTCACATGTTGGACCTGCTTCCGTTAAGGCAACTCAGAAGGGGGTCTATACATCTGAAAATCTGCATCTTACTTATTCGGGGTAGACAAATATATGTTGTCAGCTCCTCAAACTCATAACCCTTGTAGACATCCAAGGTTATTCCTACTGATCTACCTCTCACCATCTGCAAGATGCTAGTTTGAGGCACCATAATCTCAGAATTTGCTAGGTTGACTGTTACCTCAGAGTCACTACCTTCTAAAGAAGCGATTGTTACCTCAGCTAGAATGTCTATATCAGGGTCCATTGAAACTGGTGGCGTCTCTTCCTTGCTAGTTGCAAGTAGACAATCCTACTGGAAGTCTTCATCTTTTCCCGTATCAATTGTCTCATTGCTCAAATTTTCAACAACATCCTGTTCGATAAAATAGATCTTTCCTTGGTAATGCATTATGATTCCACATGCCCAAGTCTTATTATTTTGGAGTTCAAAAAACTGTTTGTTTATAAGCTTGTTAAGGCTTGATAACTAGTTTAACTGACTGAGTTTTATAGGCTCGATAAGTATCATTTGGATAGATAACATGTAGCTTCATTAAGAAGGTCGTGAATATTAACATTTAAAAGCTTCGGAACTACACTAAACAAATTAAATTCAAATCAAGCCCAAGTTTGAGCACCAACATAATTCTCAAAATCGAGCTCGAGCTCGAACACAATTCTAAGAACTCGATTCTAGCTCAAGTCGAGCCTGAACAAGCTTCAAAAAAAAAGAGCTCGGTTGTGCTATGTTCATTTGCAACCCTTGAAGAGGCAAAGAATTTTATAGAACAAATTTTAAATAGAGATGAGAGAAGAAATGAAATTTTCAGCTTAATTGATATTTGCATGCGCTTGGAAATTATATAAATGCTCAATACAATAAGTAGAAAAAAAATCAACCATCGAGTTTCGTTTAAACTATTATATAACTAAATTGATTTGTAAATCAACTTATTGGGCAAAAATTGATCTCCAACTTGTAGTTTTTATAAATAAAAAAATATTTATTTATTAAAAAAAACCAAAGATACCATAGTGAAATGTTCCACTAGTAACTTTTAAAATTTATAGGCTTTTTTTTTTTCAATCTATAGAACATGATAATTATGATTTTTTCTAAAATTAGCAGAGTGCAAATTCAATTTGGATATGGGAATCCTAAATTACAAATATTTTCAATCAAAATACTCGATCATACAAGTCGATCATCAAAGTACGCGAAATCAAAGTACATACAACCAAATTCATACAATAAAAAGAAATCACTTGACTACCATAGGAATAAAATTATGAGTTTATATAAGATACTATAAGAGATTAAAAGATAAACATTTCATGAAGGAAATTTTGAAAAATTATGAAAATTCATTAGTTTGTAATAATATGTCATCAAATAAGGAGTGAATTATGGAAAACAAAAAAAGAAGTTATACCACCATCACAACTAGTTAGCAATTTTATGAAAGAATAAAACAAACATAATTCAATAAGAAAGTATGTGTGGTTGAGAGCCTTATCATTCAACCAAGAGGTCCAGGATTCAAGGCTATGCGAATGTTGGGTGTGTGCGTTTACGTGTGTTGGGGGGTGGGGAGGGAGGGGTTCTTCATTAGCATCCTTACTGTAGATATTTTTAATTAATCTTTTTATTGATTAAAGAGGTAAATGATTGAAATTAAAAATGAGGATGAAGATTGAGAAGATTTTGAAACTAGTAGGTATGAGAGAGTAGAGAAATAGCTCAAGGCTTATGCCTCATATATTGAAAAAAATGCCTAAAAACAATTGTGCAATTTCAAACCACAATACCTACTGTAATGAGAATATGTTGATAAGTACAGTGGTAATATATGGTTGACCAAGTAAAGTTATTGGGTAAGGAGTTATCCCATCAGAAAGCCTACATGTTAGCTTGGTTGATCAAGTTGGGAACAATTAAAGGCCATTATTAACTAACATGAGTATCCTAGTGTCCTGTGCCATTAGGTGACCAGTACAACAATATGGTACGAAAGTGACAATTAATAGTGATTGTCATTTTGTTTGCTTGTTTCATTGGAGACGTGACAACAAGTGTGGTTGACAAATCATTAACAATGTGATCTTTTTTAATTCCATTTCAGTGATTATATTATAAAAATTTCCCATGATCCTATCAATGCGCAGCTCATTTTCTTCATACCTCCTTATGTCTATTCTCTCTATCCGATGATACACTTATGACATAATTTATTAAGCATTGTATTATTTTATGTTTTATGATATGCTAAATATAGTGTCCTCTTATTAATATAGTGCATTGTAGTGATATTGCAATAAAAAAGTTATGAAGGATTAAACTTCTCTGCTCTCCCTTAATCTCTATCTCCCCTTCTCTTGGGCCATGTTTGAAACATTTTTTTATAATTTGTTACGGAAAACAACTAATGTTCAATATAGTGAGCTATTATCATTTGTATGGTAGACTTCCACATCACGGGGATAAGAAATAATAATGGGTGCATAGTATTATCACACTCGCTACTTTTAAATCTCTTGCTCTTCTCCTCACTAAGCTTTAAGCTAAACCAACCTGTGAATTATGCAATATGTTGTCCTATGTCCAAACATTAGCTTCTTTATAAATATAGAATCTACATTCCTAACCTTTTTCAAATGTTTCTCCCTATTCCTCTCACTTTCTCTGTTCCATTCACTTTATTTCTTTTCCTTAGTCTGTTCTCGCTCGTTGCCCCCTAAAATTCCTCATCTCTTTTCTTCTCTCTCATTCTCACCCTTTGGTATTCTAATGTATCTTCCCTTTATAAATACTCACCCTCTCTATCATGATACTATTTATGGAATGAAAAGGGGCATTAACAAAATTTAATAGGATACCCCTAATCAAGTCAGAAAACCGGATCAATCTTCATTGATTGAGAAAACTAGGGCATACATTGATTATCCACAAGTACCCCATCATTTTTAGAAGGTCGAGCAACAAAATATAAGGCAGAAATATAACCAAATCGGCCGTAATAACCACCTTTAATATTAAAAAAGTGTGACAAACTTCCCTCTGCATGCACAAAAGTGATGTACCCTGTCTGCAAATCGTCCTCATAAGTTATGCATCAAGCTAAATCACATGGATTATCTGTCAGTTTTATGTTTTTATAAGCCCTATGATTAACATATAGAAACGAGATTTGATGCTGCAGTTTAAAAAATTAAGCAAACTAGCGGTTTACATTCTATAAAAAAAATAGTCATTATGTTTCTGAATCATTGCATAAATAGACCTCCTCTGCAGTTAAAAGAAATATATTGGGGCCTACAATTGATACATTCATATCATAGGTTTTAGGGTTGTCACACAGAATTCTTAATGCTGGTAAATATATTACAATGGTGTTACACAACTATGATTCTTCTGCTCATCTTAAAGGGCCATTTTCTTTTTTTTAATTATTAGATGGGCTTGAACCCTTGTCATTACCTTGGAAGGCAAAACGCCACTACAGAACCAAAGAAAACCTTTAGAGCAATTTGTCCAAGTGTTTTGTAACCAAAAAATCAACCAAATAGTAGAAGGGATTTGGAATACACTTGGGATTTAATGTACAAAATAATATTTTTTTCTTTTTATTTTATTGCTGAAAGAGATAACATGTGACATTGAAGATAATTTTTCTTATGAATATCAACTTGTGCATTGTAACTATCCTAAAGTTTTAGAGTTTAGCTTAAGAACAAAGACAATGGATGGCAGGGCATGAAAAAATTCAGTGTCAAAATAATACCCATTAGTTCTTTATATGGGAACAAAAGCGACCCATGCTGCTGTCAGCTCTAGATCATAGACATTAGTTAAAGAAAAACAGTTTTTTAAGTAGGCGAAATTCACTGCTCTCAGCAAGGGATATAATTTTCTGGCAGCAATGTTCTAACTATAAAAAGTCGAGAATATTTCTTGTAGATTGACAAGGCACAATTCTTTAGCCTCATCTAAACTAATAAAAACAAATATTATGACTATAATGAGCGGCATTTCAGGTGATAAAAATCAACATTTCAAACCATGAGTTGAAACATACATAAAATACAGAGAAATAATCACCTTCCCAGTCAAAAGAAGCCAAAAGAGACCTTCGGGTAATGGCTCTCCTCCAGGACGTGCAGCAGGCAACAGCTGTTGACATTCAGGAATAGAAAGCCCCCTAAAGCGAATACCCTGAAAGATATTCATAATAAGGCTGCTTTCAATGGAGTTTTTTATCAAAGAAGTTTTTAAGAAACCCAAGGTAACCTTCGAATTCATATTTATTGGTGAAATTTCTATGTAAATGTATGCATTAATCTCTATGAAAAAAGACAACATGTGTGAAAGAGAGTTGACAGAAGTCCACCTCTTCTGGATCTAGTAATGATGTTTCCCATAGCAAACCAGTCATTCCTCGCATTCCACCGATCACCTGTAAGAAACCAATCATGCTGAATTGCTTTGTAATTTCCAAGAAAACGCCAACAAAAATTGCAAACCTACTGCAAAACAACATTATTAATGTTTACCATATCAACCGTGATGTTCCCAAGTTGAGTTTTAGCATGATCAGCTTTTAGTTTTTTCAACCGTTCCTGGACAAAAAAAGTAATACAAAATTTAGACTACAATGAGCACTTCAAAAACAACTTTTGAACAATTAACCAGTTCATACCAACTAGCAAGTCTGGAAGTAAATTTTAAAGGGGATTTTTTTTTTCTTTTGAAGAAGAGGTAAAGTGCAATTCCATAACTTGAGTGGAGAAAAATTCAAAATGTTACTCATAATGAACAGATCAACTCCGTATTATCATTCAAAATTCATAAAAATAAAAAATTAAAAAAAAAACCACCAGGCTTTTGAAATCCTGTTAGAATGGAAATTAAAATTTCAAAGAAAAAATAATGAGAAATTTAACTAGTTTAAGAAAATTAAAAAAAAAACATACTTGCTGTTCGGGTATCAGCTCCACTAGTTGAGAACGCAGATCCTGCACAATAAACCCCATTAAAACAAATACATGACAGAAACTAAACAATTTTCAGAAGAAGAAGAAGAAGAGAAAGATCAACAGATAAACAAAAAATCAAGAATAATAATAATAATAATAATAATGCATGGCAAAGGAACTCTATGGTCGTAATTTTATAGTAACACAAAAGTGATTCCACGAAGATCCAAATAAAAAAGGATAAGGGACATGGCATCAGAAATTGCCGAAATCATTTATCAAATTAGAGTAACATTCACAAAAATCAAAATACCAAGATTGAAATTCACCTGATCAGAACTCTGCAGCTGAAGCCCTCGTACAGAGCCCAACGAATTAGAACTCTGAATCTGAGGAACAACATTCGAAAACAAAGATTAAAAAAAGAAAAAAACACACATTAGTTCACCTCAGCGCATAAAAAAACAGAAATTAGAACACCGCCCCAAAGATTACAAGTCCTTACAAGGCGAGACCGGAGCCTCGAGAACGCAGTGATGCCTCGGAAGAAACTCATCGCCTAATCCTCCCCCGCAAATATTCTTCAAAAACAAGCAGAGCTAAGTAGCCAAAATTATAACAAAATCGATACAGTCTGCATGACCAGAGTGATTCGAAGTCTAGGGTTTGAAAATAAAATGAGAAGAAAAATCAAAATTTGCAACGTTCAGGGATCAAAATTATGGCAATAAAAATATCAAAAAGTAAATTTTTCACCTTCAAGAGCGAAACAAGCTAACAAGCTGGAGAGAATGAACCGAAGGCAACGAAAACGAGAAGGGAATTGGATTCGACCGAAGTTCTGCCAGACGGTCAGTTTGGACAAAATGAAGCTGCAGATCTCATAGACCGGATTTTACTGATTCGGTCACGAAGGCGATGTTTTGGGCATTGGGGCGAACCGGTAGAAGGGGAGGGCAGAGGCGAAGGGGGATGGGATTGTTGTTTTAATTTAGTTTTATTATTCAAGTTAATTTTATTAGCTTAATTGATTAATAATTCACTTTTAATTAATATATTATTAAATTAAATATGTCTAGATAAATTTATATGTAATTTTTTAATAAATATTTTAAAAAAATACATTTTAAAATTAAGATTTATTAATAGTACATTTTTAATTAATATAATTAATTTTTAATAATTAATAAATATTAATTAATAGTTTGATCAGTAATTACTTTAATACAATTTTTTAATAATTTAGTTTTGTGAAAATTTATTTATTAATTAGCATAGTTTAAAATAAATTTTAAATTAAATTTAATTTAATAATTAAAATTTATTGTAATAATATAATAATCAAATTTTAATTATGAGTTTTTATAATAATAAACATAACAAATTTTTAAATCCTCACTTAATTTAGAGCTTTTTTAGGACTTCTTTTCCTTTACTTTCAAAAATTATGAGGTGGCGTATAATTTATTTTTAATGGTTAGTTTAACAAATAAATCAATTAATTTTCAAAATCATTTAAAAAAGATTTAAATATTTTTCCTATTTTTAAAAATATTTATTAACATCTATTAAATCTTATTTCAAATTAAATTTTGAATAAAGCAAAATAAAATACCACCTACCATCTTTTATTCTAATGAAAAGGAAAGCCAAAGGTCAGCTCAGCTCAAATTTAATTAATATATAAATATATTTTAAATTTTTTAAAATGAAAATATATAAATAATAAATTAGATGTATATTATATCTATCATTAAAAAAAAAATTTAATCCTAAGCAAGTTTAAATGATATCTTCACCAGCTTTCGTCTAAGGTTGGTTTCCCTTAGGCTCTGTTTGGCGCAGCTGCAGCTTCCCAGCTTTTCAGCTGCAGCTACGCTGCCCCAGGAAGCTGCTGCAGGGAAGCGGCTGCGGGGAAACTGACTATCTGTTTGGTGCAGCTGTATGAAAACAGTTGTGGGGCAGCTATTTTTGGAGAAATGACCATGTTGCCCCTGTTTGTTAAAACTGTTTAAAAGAACAGTAACAGCTACATTTTTGAAACTTCTGAAACGAAAATTCATCAATACAAGTATGAATTTCGAATTACGGAGCCTAAAAGAAACAAATTGAATAACCACATAAGAACAAAGGATTTAACGTGGTTCGGTCATGCTGACCTACATCCACGGGAAAGGAATCAAATATATTCATTATTGTAATAAAAAAATACATCGCTTCAAATCTACAATGTTTCATTGTCATTGCTATGAGATGAAAGTAGACCAAGAAAAATGTGTGGCAATTGTAGAAAGAAAAAAAATGTATACATCTTTTCTTGGAGAGCATGATCTCCTCTTTTCAACTCTACGAGTTGTGCAAAGTGATATGTATGTTCATATGAAAGTTCAGGTGTTAGATATGTAAATGTAGAAAGAAAAAAAATGTATACATCAAAAGATCCAAAACTTTTGCTCCTTGACCAGCAATCCCCATAATTCATATAACAGGTTCATTAAAGAGATCATAACAGATTCAGATGGAAATAGAAACCTGCTTTCAGATTTCAGAACAGGTGCATCAAAGAAAGTAACAACATAGAATCACTAAGGCACAATAATGTAGTTGTTGCTCACCAAGCCACATTAATGGGAGAAATCAGGTGACGCCGACGAGAAGTAGGGAGAAGAGAAATAAGAAACATAATTAATGCATGTAAAAGTGTGGACTGGAGGTTTCTGTACATGGCTCATTCCTCTCACAGGTCCTTGAACAAACAAGCTTGTATCAATCCAATACCAAGATAGAGTTTAGAACTACTTTTAATGCCTCGTATATTTCAGCAGCTCGAGCAATCATAATTAATTTCAAGAAAACAAAATTGGTTATAGGAAAAAGAGTTGCTTTTAAGGGAAAAAAAAAGGAAGCAGAGCTACTTAAAGAAAACAAAACTGGTTATAGGGAAACACATGCGCTTCACATTCCACCCAACTTTCAAAATATGCTTACAGAAAACAGAGTTCTCTATCACTCAGTTCATTTGTACTGACATATCTAAAACGTGAAGAATCTCTTCAGGCTAAAATGAAGAATTTCAGCAAGCTACTAAAGATAAAAAAACTGTGTTATGTATGTAAACCTTATAAAAATCTACAGCAAAAAATATTGTAAACCTTCCAAAAATCTGAATCCAATATGTATGTCA